CGGCCGGCCTGTCACGGCTGCGGAGGGGCCGCTGCACCCTCCGTGTGCGCCGGTCCCCACAGCAGAGGCACCGTCCCGAACTGTCAGTGGTGTGGAGGGAGGTCACGTCCGAGATGTCACTTAAAGCCCAGAGGTCATGGGTTGGGGTGAAGAAACAGCACAGACCATGAGCGGGATCAGGACTGGCCTGGAGCACAGCCGTCAGGCTCCGTGCAGAGGAAGCCGGGTCCCGCATGGCTAACCAGGGTCAGTCCCAGTCCCACCGGCTTGAAAAACATGCTGGGTGCAGGTGTGTGTACGGCGCCCAGGATCCTGACAGGCTGAAAACTGGAGAAGAAAGGGACTGCAGAGGACCCCACGGGGGGCTTTCTCTCCTCGCTGGAGAGTGCACACGTCCTCTGGAAAAAAGAAAAATAAGTACAGGGCCAGTTTGTGGCATGATTGGAGTCCCAGACCCGGCAGCTTGAAAAACATGTAGGGTTGGGACCAGCAGTTAGCAATAATGGCTGCGTGGCTGGACTCCCATGTAGTCAACTGCAGTTCGAGTCCCAGACCCGGTGGCTTAAACTCACGCTGGGCACGTGTGCGTGTGTGCCCAAGATCCCGAGAGGAGAACGGAGGAGAAGGGATTGCGGCATGGCCATCACCCCTGCGGGATGATTTCTCACTTTCTGTCTCTTTGTCTCTGTCTGTTACTTTCTGGCGAGCGCATGTGCCCTATAGCAAAAGTCTCTGTGAAAGAGAGAGAGAGAGAGAAAGAGAGAGAGAGAGAGAAACATGTGGGGCACATTTGCATGTGTGCCAAAAATCTCAAAAGAAGGGAGGAATGGAGGCGGGAGTGCAGTGTGGCCGTTTCCATGAGGGACTCCCCTCGCCCGACCCCGCACCCGACACACACACGCCCTCTGGCGAGTATTTTTAAATGCGACCTCAGCGTGTACTGTGCAGTGTGCCCACGTTCAGAAAGCAGAGCCGACTGCACTGTCGCAGGTGTGCATGGGAGACACTCGCCACCACGAAGCCTCAGCCGGCCCGAAGTGACAGCACGAAGAACGGGGTTTTGCCGCAGGCCGGTGTGTCCCACTTCCTCAGGGTTTCAGGCTTCGGTGCCACCAACTGAGGGTCCAAACCGGGCCCCATGCCGCACATGGGGTGCCGGGACAGGCGGGAGCCCGGACGCTGGGGGACAATGAGTGTCCCCTACCGAGACGCCACAGCTTAGGAGATGAGAGTGATAAGAAAGGGGCTGAAATGGACACGAGGGGACAGAGGAGAGCTGAGGTACGACCCGGGTCTCCAGGCCCCGTTACAGTGGGGCGAGGACCGGGCACAGCCGCAGGCTAAGGGCGAGGGAGGTAGCAGGTTCCTCTTCGGGTCTTCATAATAAGAAGGGGAGATGTTACATCAAGTGAAGGTCGGACGGAAACGACTCGGTTCCTTGAATCCACGTCGCGCGGATTTCTAATGAAGCCTTGATGTGAAGATGCCCTCTGTTTCTGAAGACATACATCTTTATGCCAGAACGGCTGGAGCTCAGGGCTCTTCTGTCACAAAGCATCCCTGGCGTCCAATCTCGAATGGCCCCTGCACCTCGGGTGCTGAACCCAACACTCTGTCACCTGCCCGAGGGCCCGCGGAGGGAGGGCGGGGCCCCTGGAGAGCTGCTCTCCGGGGGACGACAGCCACGGGCCGGCTGCGATCCGGGCGGGCACCCGCGCACTCACCGCACAGCACCGACCTGCCCGAGGCCGAGCAGCCCGTCCAGCGCCCACGGAGCGGCGTGGGGCCTTCCCACAGTGCACACGAGGGGCTCTCCGTCAGCTTCCCAGTCGCACTCACGGGTGTGCCGAAGGTATTAGAGAAGCTCAAGTCGCATCACTGCAGCTTCAAACGCCGCTGTCTGCTTTAGGAGAAACGGCTTCTGCACATGCAGAAGAACAGAGGAAAAGACTGAATTCCAGCTGTCCACATGGTTCGCTGAAGAATATCCGACTTCTCCACTCGTTTTTTCCTGAAAATGTAAACTGCTTTAGGTATAAGCAGGCTTCTTTGGCAAAAGCGCAGCTCGTTTTCCCCAGTGAGCCACACTGTCATACTAGGCATCACGTTTTCTCGTATTAAAGGCGGTCGCAATCTGTTTCACTATGGTCCTAGGGAGAATGAACGTAATCTGTTGATCAAAGGAACATCCTTTGGCCCAGCCCGATTACCAATACTGAGGGGAAAAAAAGGGGAAATCGTATTGCCACATCAAGATGACCCTTGGGGGACCAGCAGTTAGCGTAATGGTTATGTCGCTGGACTCCCACGTAGTCGACCGCGGTTTGAGTCCCGGACCTGGTGGCTTAAACTCACGCCGGGTACGTGTGTGTGCGTGTGTGCCCCAAGAGGAGAATGGAGGAGAAGGGATTGCGGTTTGGCCAACTCCCTGGGGCGGGGGGTGTAATTTCTCGTTTTCTGTCTCTATGTTTCTGTCTGGTGAGCGCACGCGCCCTGTAGCGAAACAAACAAACAAACAAACAAAAAACAAAAAAAACCCTCTCCCCCCTTCCAAAAGAAAGAAAGAAAGAAAGAAAGAAAGAAAGAAAGAAAAGAAAGAAAGAAAGAAAGAAAGAAAGAAAGAAAGAAAGAAAGAAGACCCTCGGAACATCGTGGCAGTGGATGTGCAGACACCCACATGGTGGGGCTCAGGAGGTGTCTGGAACAGGGGAGAGCAGGCCCCCGCTGCTCCCCGCCCCGCAAAGCCTCTCCGTCACCTTAACCCCATCGCGGACACCGACCTCGGCACAGCCTGTCCCTCTAAGAGAGGGCCACTGCTCACCAGGCTGTCACAGTGCAGGGAGGAGTAATGCCGAGGTCCCTGGCCCAGAGGAAGACCAGGAACAAGCCTGCGGGAAAGTACCGGTCAACCGGTCCTGACCCACGTGAGTCACTGACACTCACAAAGTCTGACAGCCTGGACTAACTCCATGCCATGAAACAACGGGCTGGTCGGTTCTAACAGGAGCGCGAGACGACAAGATATCCAGCTAGGGAAACGGGGTCACGCATGTCCTCATTTAAAAGTCAGCTGATGCGGCATCTGTCGGCAGCAGAAAGGACGGTAATAAAGCGAGGGGCGTCTCTAGCTTGGACTGTACAGTACACCGTGTGGGCAGACGCAGCCAGACCAAGACGGCGACCACCGTCCCACGTCCTGCGGCTGTCAGTCAGAGCGGTGGCTCCCTTGGCGGGCACCAGGGCCACCTGGGTGCTGGGACCACGTCCTGGGCAAGAGCTCCTTAGACACAGGGACACAGGGACACCAGGACACCTGGACACAGGGACACAGGGACACCAGGCTGCACCTTCACAACTTTGCTTTTCTCTATATAAGTTACACCTTAACATTTTTTAAAATTTCATATATTTACTTACCTGTTTTAATTTGACCAGAGAGGGACAGAGTGGGGGCAGGGAGTAAGAAAGCAAGCCACAGGGCTAGGACTCAAACTGTATGGGGCCGGCAGGGGGCGTGGTGGTTAAGGATGCTGGACTCCCACATGGCCAGCCAAGATTCAAGTCCTGGACCTGGAGGTTTGCTAAATAGATAAAGTTAAATAAACAATTCTTCTTAAAAAAAACATTTTTAGGAGCCAGCAGCTGGTGTAATGGCTATGTTGCTGGACTCCCATGTAGTTGACTATGGTTCAAATCCCAGACTCATGCCAGGTGTGTGTGCGTGCAAGTCTAAGATCCCAAGAGGAGAATGGGGGAGAAGGGATTGTGGTGTGGCCATCCCCCCGGGGGGGTGTTCGATTTCTCTCTTTCTGTCTCTTTGTCTCTCTCTTTCTGGCGAGCACATGCTCACTATAGCAAAAACCTCCCCCCACCCCAAAAAAAAAAAAAACCCCACACATTATTTAAATGCTATTAGACACAGGAGTATCTTCTTTTTTTTTAATGGCCAGGTGTATGCACTCACCAGAGAGAGAGGAGAGAGAGAAACACCCCCACAGGGGCGAGTCACACTGCAATTTCTCCAGCACTCCACCCTGTCAGGATCTGGGGCACACAAGCACAGGCATCCAGTGGGTCAGGACCTGAGCCGTGGTTGGCCCCACCAGCTGGCCATGGGACTGACCCCAGAAATCAGTGTCTGAAAACGTAGTTACCGCCCCCTTTGTCTGCATTATAACAGGGAGCCTACCAACCGTAAGATCTCTAACGCCAACAGCAAGCAACGCACTTTAGTCCATATGAGAGAAAGAGATGAAAACCTGCTGATGCTACTCAGATCAGAAACTTGACTGCATTTCAGGATTCCTGAAATGTCCCAGTCCTTGGGCTGAGCCCATAGCCCAGTGGGTAAGGCAGCTGGACCTCACATGGCTGACTGCAGTTCTAATCCCAGGCAGGGAGGCTTGAAAAGCACGTCGGGCTCGTGTGCACGTAGGCCCGATCCCAGAGCGGTGGAGATGTGGAGCGGTCGGGGTTGCCGCGGCCCGGGACCACACCTTCCCCCACTCTCTGCCTCCCCCTGACAATCAAAACGAAAAACTGGGGGCCGGCAGGGGGTGTGGTGGTTAAGGACACTGGACACTGGACTCCCACATGGGCGACTGTGGTTCAAGTCCCAGACCCG